GGCCCGGCCCGGCCCGGCCCCCACCCTTGCCCCCCGAACGAGTCAGACCCCGAGATGGGAGCCATTTCCGACTCCGGGAAGGAAGCCAGCAGCAAGGTCGCCACAGAGGCGTGAGTGGGCCTGCTGGGGTGAGGGGTCCCACAGTTACAACAGCTGGTGCCGGGCGGGGGGCCTGGCTGGGCGGGTGACTAAAGGGTTGTGCCCAGGTTGTGCCCGAGGTGAGAGGGGAAGCAGGGAGGGGTGAGGAGGAAGGGCAGAGGCTGGCGGTGTGAGGCGGCCTGGAGAGGACGTCAGGGCTTCGGCCCAGGGGTCTGGACAGGGCGCAGACTCAGCCTGGGCCGGCCTCTTGTCAGGCCCTGGGGGCGCTGAGCTGACCGCAGCCTGGGGTGGGCTTGCCCGGGGCCTAGGCCCCACACAGACTCCTCATTTGGGAGTGAAAGTGCAGAAATCTTGTCTGTCCTCCCTGCGGACCCAAGGGCCTCCAGAAATCCAAAGTCACAGAGTCCACCGGGCTCCGGGGAAGGGAGGACTCCGGGGAAGGGAGCACCAGTCACCAGCCGGAGTGCTCCAGCTCAGGCCTGCTCCAGCACTTCAGGCGGCTCCCAAGGAGCCATTAGTCACCGGCTTTAAATAGCAGGTTAATCCGTCCCCTGACCCTGCAGGCAGAGGCAGACGCAGAGGGAGACAGGCACTGGGGTGGACGGTCCGAGTCCGAGTCCGAGTCCTGCCACCCCGTTCCCGCAGGTCCCACCCCTGTCCCTCCGCCTCCCAGCCGCACCCTCTCCTGAGGGCTCAGAGGAGGCAAAGGAGAAAAAAGGGAAAGTGAAAGGCACACCTTCCCGGGGACTCGGGACTCACCTCTGCTCTCGCTGCTTCCAGGTCCCCTTCCCGCTACAAAATCACCTTTGGGGTTTCAGGGTCCTGCCCAGCGGGAGGTCTCCCCAGGGACATCTGGTCTGGCCAGGACCAGGTTGTGGGGGCAGCGAAGCAGCAAGGGGAGTGTTTAGACTGAGCCTCAAGGCCACAGCCGAGGGCAGAGGGCGTGGGAGCCGAGGACATGGCTTCCTGCTGGCCTGGGGTCGCATGGTCACCGGGTGGCAGAGCCCTGCTGGGCTGAGCCCGCGGTGGGCAGCACACAGCCCTGCTTCTAAGAGAAGAGGGCGAGCCGTGCCCGCAGAGCCGCGGCTTCCCCACGCCCACCGAGGGCGCCCTCTGCCCGG